GTGCAAATATATCACTTGCAAAAGAGAACGGATTCTCTTTTTTTTCAATAGAAGCTTGTATCACTTCAGGAGCAATAAAATTGACAGTTCCAGAAATGCCTGTACTTGTGAAAGTATCCAAGTTTCTGGCCAATCCAAAATCCGAAAGAACTACACTCACTTCTTCTCTCTCCAAATCCAAATCTCTTATCAAAATATTATCTGGTTTGATGTCTCTAGAGATAAATAGAAAAATAATTGCATAATTTAATTACTTACCTGTGAATTAAATTGCAAACTTTCAAAATTTCCAAAGCACTACACATTTGTACTAGAATAGTCTGCATAATCTTTTCAGAAAATGGCTTTTCTGTCGTCATTACATTTTTCAAGCTCATCTTCATCAACTCCATTTCTATCCCTACAATACCATCTCCAATCATGAATAAATCACAAGTTTTAATAATATTGCAGTGAGTAATCTGACGCATCTTTTGATACTCTCGAACGGAAATCATAACTTCCGATGTTTGCTTACCCAATTTTAGAGCCAACTTTTCATAATTCTTGGTAGTCACTTTATAAACAGTGCCAAAACCTCCCGTAGCAATAAATTCCTTGGATATGTATCGATCTTCAAAGGCTTGTCGATCGTTATCATACGTTTAACATTCGGGTATGAATTGAAATTCTTCATCCTCTTGATTAGTTACTTCAACGCAAGGCTGAACAAACGAGTCTTGATCAAACCCATCATCCACTTGTCTATCATTTCGTGCTTCGTGAGTCAACATTTTTTATGTTTGATGAGGTTTAGCCATTCAATGTTGTCTGGTATTATTGTCAATTATAAATAATTGTTCGGAATGGAAGATTGTACAAAGAATAACCAGATTAAACCTTAGATTGACTAGTTTGAGTATCGGTAGTATAGGTATTAGTAGTATTAGTATTAGTTGTTGTTGTGTCTTGTTCGGATTGATTTCTATTGAAAAAATCAAAGGAAGGATGATATAAACACATGACCAAAATTGAAAAGATTAAAATTCCCAAACAATTCAAAAAATCATAAAACAATGATGAATAATTCCAAACAAAACTAACAGCACCCAATCCAACTGCAATAATTTGAAAAAATGTTGAAAATATCAAAACTGAAAGCAAAATGATAATTTTCAAAATGGGTTGTTTCCATGAATAGGATTGAGATTGATCTTTGAATTGTTTTCTTGTCTTGTTCAGCAGTATAATCACTCTTGAAAACACAATCTATTCATCATTTCAAAATAATTTTAGCTATTAGAATTATGAGAATGTTAAATGAAAACTTACTGAAATTGCAATTGTTTGAACAATTAATTGAATTGCAAAGAATGCAAAACAAGCAATTGAAAAGATGAACAAAATATCCACAGTCACTTTCAAGCTCTCAATTACAAGCATGACAAACACTGCAACAACCAACAAGAAGTACATTGCAGAACTAATGAAAAAGGAAGTATCAAATATCTTTCTGATAATTTTTGTTTGTTTTGATTTCAAAATTCCTTGTGAATATTTGATCAAATTGAAGAACAAATGAGAAATGTAGTGCACAATTTCATTAATCACCAACAAGGCAATCAAAATGAGGAATGTTTCAATACCAAGAGCAAAGAACAATCCCACTAAATCAGCATATGGTATCCCAACAGTTTCTGTTGTCAATGTACTATTCCTGTTTATCATAACATCTTGATAGAGTTGATCTGGTTCATTCACATTATTCACTTTCAAATAATTGTGAAATCGTTCAACAATGGAAATATTACAAAAAGTATAAGCAGTTCTTGCACACAATGCCAATGTTTGAACAATCAACAATGTATTCACGAGAATGAGAACAATTCTTTGAGCCTTCCTCAATGTCTTCCAAGTTTGATTCCTCACAATGAAAATTATCATGACAAGAATGAGTGAAATGAACAACAAGATGAAGAGAAAGGAAATCGATTGATCAATGGCACTCAACAAAGTATCATCAAAATCATCAATAGTAAACACTGGAGAGGAGACATTGTTGGTAGATGACGTTTCGTTTACCTGGTAGTTTACTAGAAGAGCGAGTTCGGCAATTTTTCCAACAGAATGCATCTTTGTTTGTTTTTTTCTTTTGTGATTAGTGAAGTATGACAACGTTACAGGAATGAAAACGAATAACAATTTGAGAGATATGGATTGTACTAATTGGAAGAATAGTTGCAACTAACAAATATAGAAA